TAAAACATATATATGTTGTTATTGTTGTTGTTATGTACCGTCGAGTCAGACCTGACTCATAGTGACCCCTCTTTGGGTTTCCGAGGCAGTATCACTATGGAAGTAGATTGCCCAACCTTCCTTGCAAGGAGTGGTTGGTGGGTTTGAACCGCCAGCCTTCTGGTTAGCAGTCAAGTGCCTTAGGCACTATGCTTCCAGAGCTCCTAAAACATAGGATTTGAAAATTTTCAGTAATGGTGTTTGCAAAGTAAATTTTCATATTAATAATATTTGAAATTTTGCTATATCATCATTTAAAATATGTTGTTTTCATTTCATATTTCTAAAGTAATTATTTGGTATTTTTTAAAAAATCTTCTAACCTTTACAATGAGGTCAGCCAGCATTATGAATTACTCCTTTTCAGATTGAGAATTTGCACAAAATGAATTCTACTAGCTTCAGACAATTCAATGATTATTTCAGGAGAAAAATGTCGAAAGTATGTTTTAGCATCTTGTTCTTTCAACTCTCCATACGACACTATACAAATCATTCTGCTTGATAGATGAATGACAAAACAAAAAAACAAAAACTCAGCAGACTTATGTGTATATCAGCTCAACTCCATCCATCTTTAAGATTGATTTGGATATTCACATACTGGTCAAACTCTAATGACGTTAGCAATTGATGTGCCTAAAACAAACTAACAACTTACATGGGCCATTTCATCATGTCATAAAATCAAGTATTGACTCTATAATTCATATGTATTGGAAATACATACAGAAAAACAGAATAGATTTCATCTTTTCTTCTCACTGCCACAGATCTGCTAAGTTCTGCAAGTATCAAATAACATTATTCTATTTGCTCTAGTTCTACTAGGACAATATACAGCACTAAATCTTAAATATCACGGTTCTGTTCTGGTAACTCCCTGGCCAGGCAAGCTAGGAATCCTGTCTACATAAATCTCTTTTAAGTGTCATATAGTTTGTATTTTTGGAGTTCAGTTAAGAATGCCTAACCCCAAAGCTATCTCCATGATGAATTTTACTTTTCTAGATTTATTTGCTTAGACAGCTTAGTAGAATGTTTCAAGATCCATGTAATCACTGTAATTATACCTAATTACAAAATAGTATATCTAAGTGCTTTTATAGTATAAATTATAACATTTATATTTTGTTATATATTATAAAATTTTAATGTTCTAACACACCCCCAATTATAACATTTTCTGAGCATAAAATATTGCAGATCGGCAAAAACAGTTCTTAACACTCAGGGATCTTGTGCTTTTATATTTTTGCTCACATTTTGGGGACAAATCCAACAGTATCTTTTTCCTTTTTTTCATTTAATGTGACATCCATTATTTCATTCAAC